GATCCATTGTTTAAGGACAACTTCACCATTCACCACTTTACCAAAATAAGTCTACCAGAAAAAGCAATTGAAATTTTAGAGCCTTCATTGCTACCTGAGGTTCAAGATGAAGAAAATTCAACAAAATGGTATATGGAAGAAAGACTTGGTGCTCTTGAAAGTCTTGTGGAAGTTGCTAGGGTTGGACTACTCTGCTCAATGGAGTCACCAAGTGAAAGAATGGACATAAAAGAAGTTGTTGCAGAATTACTTGCCATTAGAGACAAGTTCCTTTGTAATAAAACCAAATTTTCATCAACTTAATTCTCATAAGTTGTTTCAACTACATAAAGGTGGAGTTTATTATTGATGAATATCCTTTTGTGTTTTGTTGATGCCACAATTTAATTTTTTTCTGTTATGAATCAATTCATTATCGATATTTCACTTTCTACATCTTTCACCTCCTCACTTTCTCTTGTATTTACTTGCCCAATATAATGGTGATTAACTCGCCCACTCTCTCATGTATCTAATGGTGATTTATTCTTATTTAGTGGTGATTAACTCTTGTATTGTCTTACAACTCTTGTAACTTTTGTACCTTTTACCACTCTACTACCCTATACATAAGAACAATGAGAACTTTTCATGACCTCATTGTCTCTCTTTGCCTTTTTATGTCTCTCTAATTCCTTCTTCCTTTTCTACTCATTTCTTTCTTATTTTACAATACATTATTAGTAGGAACTGTCTCTAGAAATCCCATTTGATATAATGGATTAATTGAGATAGAGTTTTGAGATAAGATTTTAAGGCAAATTTTATTTTTCAATATCTAGTTTCTAATTTGAATATTTTATAGTATTATAAGAATTTGCTTATTTATATGTTACTTTACACTTGTCACAAGATTTGAGTTCATTGACCTTGAAAAATTGGACTCCAACTATTTTCCATGAATTCTAGATGTGGAAATTCATTGCCCTTGGTAAGTGAATTTTGAACATTCAATTGTAGAAAACAATAAAGTATACTTTCACAAATATAAAATTATCGAAGAAAAACAGACATCCTTAAAGAATTCTAATAACGTAATATTTTTTCATGATAAAGTTTATAAAGGATAAAAGATGAGAATATTTGACAATAAGAGATTCATTAGAATCTTGAAATACTTTTGGAAGGTACTATCACTCAAACAAAAAATTGAAATTCTTTGAAAAGTTAGTTATGAAAGGATCCATTTATTACTCAAGTCTATGAATCTGCAAATATTTTGAATTGGTTTATGCGGAAAAAATGATTATTAATAAAGACAAATTAGAGAGTATAAATTCTTCTTTACATGGCTTGAATATGCTCAACATTAGCAATATTAAAAGGCAATTTTAATAGATATAATCAAAGTTAATGTATGTGTTATTGTTGTCAATAAAATTTTGAATATAACATCATGTGATAATCATTGTTATCAATGTGATCATGAACTTGAAATTTTGCAAAAATGAAAAAAAAAAAAGAGTTTGAAAAGAATTTAAAACTTCTTATTAAAGATATGAAATAAGTGAATATTGATTACATATTTTTTGTATATTTAAACAATACAAGTACATGTCATACATATCCCAACATTGGCTCGATTTGTTACCATAAATGTGCAAAAATAAATTTGGTAGAAAACAATAATATGGATATACACTTGTAATCTACAATTTTATTTCAAATTTGGATATCTTATATCCATTTTGAAAATATTAGGGAAAGGTAACTCAAATATTTGAAAATTTGAAAATACATCCCAATGTTGAGATTGTAAATAAGTAAAGCTTTAGAAATCAAAAATATATCCCAAGGAAGAAATATTAAGATCAAGTCTCCTCTATAAATAAGAATTTATTTTTAATAAGTAAAGGAAATCTATGAATTCATTTGATATGTATATGAGTATTTTTATAATAAGAATTCTCATATAAAAGCTTATATCCCAAATTTTAAGATTTGCATTGATCTCATATAATGTCTTTCAATGTAAGGATTATATATTGAAATGTAAATCCTAATCTTCTCTTTGTATTTAAAATGATGGTTATAATAAAAATATTATCAATTGTAGGGATTTTCTAACTTGTATTCTAAAGCATCTTTTTTGTTATAATTTGTATTGAAAAATATAGAAACTAACATTAATTTTAGTACCATTTCTCATGAATAAATTTAATTAAATAATTGATAAATTAAACATTATTTTTTATTCTTCCAAAACTCTTAACCTATGTTTTAAGGATATAGATTAAAGAAATCTTTCGTTGTATTAGTTTTGAGTTGTTAAGTATTAAATATTAAAAAGAGTTAAACGATAGAAACTTAAAATTTTATATGGTAAATACAATATTTAAAAACTTAAAAAAAAAAAGTTTGTGTACTAATTTTGAAAGTTTTCAAAATTTGAGGCGGGCAGTCACCCCCTCGCACTCCACTCTCTCCGCCCCTGATGCCAATGCCTTACCTCAATATATCATTCCAAAAATAAATAAGAGAATGGAATGCTTTCTCCTACGTGTCTCCTTCTCCCACATAACCCAACTTTGAAATTGAAACTAAAAATTACAGTATACCTCAACTTTCTCCTCGTTCTCGGCAAAAATCAATTAAGCCGGCCGTCAATTCACCACGGTTTCACTATAGTACTGAAACTATAACCGGAGCCCAACAAATAATTGTGTGGCCATAACACTTCTCTCTTTTTTGGAAGAGAATACCTTTATGCATTTAGTAGGTTTTTACGAGCTCTTTTCTTTTTCTTTTTCTTTTTCTTTTTTTAATTTTTTGCACGAAAGCTTATTGGGCTAAGCTTCTTGGATGTAAAGCAGAATTCAACTAGAAGATATATTCACTACGCCAAACACAAAGACATTTTATTTCATTTCTCTTTGAACAACTACAAAGAATTACGACATTTATGCTTTCAAGAATTAATGAAAGAAACAGCAAACGATAGAAAACCTCTCCAAACAAACCAGAAAACTAAATGGAACTGAATTACTATTTTTTTAATTTTATCTTGAGGTGGATGTTAAGAAACAATTCTCTCCAATTCCACTCTTATAACTTAAATTTAAAATCTTTTATTTTTATTAGAATAATGTGATTACAAACCATAAGAATGCGAGTACTTGCAATCGAAAGAAAATAGAAGCCATTCAACACAGCGCAGAAATTCGAAGCGAAGCTAAAAAGCACAAAGTAAAAAAGGGAATTCTTGTAACTAAAACATGCAGTTTCCTATCAAAGGTTGTTTCCAAATATGTCAATACAATTCTCTGAGTATGTTCAACTAGATTATATATACATATATATATATATATATGTATGTATACATGTTAGGAGGCTAATTACTTGTCATCACAAAATTTTAAATTTTAAATTTTAATTTTAAATTAATAAATATTAATTTGACCAAAATCTTATTAATACTATGGCCAACTAGATGATACACTGAAACACAAAATTTCTTGTAATCATATACAATATCAAAACATGCTGAACTTCATACAGAAAGTGCTGAACATCACACTTAAAAATCTTGGGGCAAAGTCTATTTTTAGCCCCTCACCTTATCAAATTTAAAGGTTTTAACCTCTTAACACTTTTAACTCCTCATCTTATTAGATTTGTATGTTTTAGCCCCTCACCTATTAAAATCGAAAAAAATAACCCTCACTTTATACTGATTATTAACTCTGTTAGTTGAAAATAGATTTTTATCAATTAACAATCAATTAATAGCCGATTAACAGAATTAATAAAATATTATAAAGTTATTTCTGTTAACTCTGTTGGTGAAAGAAGATTTTTGACAACTAATAGTCAACTAACAGTCAGCTAATGGAATTAATAATTAACTAACACTTTTAACTCCTCATCTTATTAAATTTGTACGTTTTAACCCCTCACCTATTAAAATAAAAAAAAATAACCCTCACTTTATACTAACTGTTAACTCTGTTAGTTGAAAATAGATTTTTATCAATTAACAATCAATTAATAGCCAATTAACAGAATTAATAAAATATTATAAAGTTAATTTTGTTAACTCTGTTAACTCTATTGGTGAAAGAAGATTTTTAACAACTAACAGTCAACTAACAATCAGCTAATAGAATTAATAATTAGTTAACAGAACTAACACTTTTTAACTCCTCATCTTATTAGATTTATACGTTTTAGTCCTTCACCTATTAAAATCGAAAAAAATAGCCCTCACTTTATACTGACTGTTAACTCTGTTAGTTGAAAATAGATTTTTATCAATTAACAATCAATTAATAGCCAATTAACAGAGTTAACAAAATATTATAAAGTTAATTCTATTAACTCTATTAACTTTGTTGGTGAAAGAAGATTTTTGACAACTAACAGTCAACTAACAATCAGCTAATATAATTAATAATTAGTTAATAAAACTAACAAAATATTACAAAGTGAGGGCTATTTTCTTCAATTTTAATAGGTGAGGGGTTAAAAGTATCATAATATAAGGTGAGGGACTAAAACTTACAAATCTAATAAGGTGAGAGGCTAAAAATGTTATAATATAAGATGAGGGGCTAAAACCTTCGAATTTGACTAGGTGGGGGGCTAAAATAGACTTTTGCCAAAATCTTGCGACTAGTTATGCTAATACATGTGACTATTTGCCTATCCAGATTAAGCTAAGCTCAGAACACTCGGCAAATCAAAATTTCTATTCCAAACATGAAATTAGAAATCCAAGAAGCTCCAGAAAGTAGACAGAAGTAGAAGAACAACAATCTGAATAACATTAACAGGCATATAAAAGTATAAAACACAAACTCAGAACTAAAATGTAACACTGAGATCACATCACAAGATAATTCATTTTATGCAAATAACAGACAGAAATTGGTTATAAATACGAACTGATTTTTATCACATATGCACTGAAAAATTCACCATAATGCAAACCAAACCAAAACTCATCACAGATCAAACAAAATAACAAGTTCCACCTTGTTCCTCCTCAACCAAATGAGAAAGGGGTAGCCTAGTGGAGTCGACTCCAGTTGGCTAGACCTAGCCACACAATCTCCTAAACACTTCAATTCGAATTCAATAGAATATTGAGAAAAGTACTAATTGACTGTAAGAATAAAGGTATCCTAATTTTTTTGTAAAAAACTAAGTTGAGAGTGTTTACCGAAGAGAGATGGAGATACGAAGTTGAAGAGAGCACAGAAACTAGGCCTGAACTTTCTCCAGAGATGGAATTGAAATCCGAGGAACTTGCAGAGAACGCCGAAACTAGGCCTGAACTTTCTCCGGAGGTTGAATTGAAATCCAAATTGCCAAGAAGCACTGGATCTGGATTCGAAACACAGAGATGAACCGAAGCTACCAGCAGGAGAGTATATCAGACACACCATAGAACACCAAAGTGAGAAGAGGTACTGCCTTGCACCTTTGGAAGTGAATTAAGCTAGTTGATGTGGCAGGTACCGATTAGTCTCTAGTGGATGCCAGAGACTGGATGGATAGGAGCAAGGGAAGCGAAGTGGGGAAGCCTATTTGGTGGTTGATGATCGGAGCACGAAAAAATGGAAGTTCTTTGGGGAAAGGAGATCGGAGGGGGAGAATCGTAGAAGAGGGAAAGTTCAACGGTTGCAGAGAGAAGGATTTTCTGAAGAAAAGAATGGAGGTGGTGTCTAAGGTGGTCAGCAGAGATGGTGATCGTAAGGAAGAGGAGAGCGGCCGGCGAAAAGTTGCAACGGCAGAGAGAAGCTGAGATTATGGTTAATTAATTTTACATTAGATGACGTGGGAAACCCACATGCCCATATACATCTCAACAAACAGTGACATCCTGAAATGGCGGGGTGAAGTGTATTATTCACCGAATAACTCTTTGTATCAACATCTACCACTGGTCTAACAACTTTATCCATTGATTAACTAGGCGATAAGTACAAAATCTACCACAAGTAATGGAGAGTTCACACTAGTCGGATGATCACGGGCACAAATACAATTGTTACTCGCAAGTACTTTACCCCTTTCGATAAGCACCATACCTGAATTGCAGACAAAATGGGTAAGTAATAGGTATGAAAATAATATATCCATAAATATGAAGTAAGTAATAAGTATAGGGGTTTAAAATTGTTTACTTAACTTATTTAATCAACTTATTTAATTAACTTATTACTTATACTGATATAGTTGAAATTATATATATTTATCATATAGAATATTTATATAATAGTAATAATTTTTAAAAATAAAACTAATAAAATATAAAAAATTAGAATTAAAAATTAAGTAAGACGTATAAGCCAAACAAATCAGACACACAATAATATCAACTCGTAAAATTAATAAATCGTAAACCAAATTCGTAACACATATAACAATAACATTTTATAATTAATACTTAATGTTTTCTTTTCTTGAGCCAAGTACATAAGTATATATACACAAGTCATATGGTACTTGATGGGTTAAGTGCCAAATATAGGTGTTCGAGTATTTGAATAGATACCAAGCAATGTTTTAAAGCTTGGCCCAATAATTGATTCATTTTGATCACCAGGTTTGGTTCAACTGGTTAAACCAATTTGATCGATTGGTCAACTGGTCAATTTAATAAATATTATTTAATTTATTTTATCAATTATAAATTATTTTTACTTTAATTGATTTTATTTTAAAACTGATAGAAATCATTTTTATATTTATTGATCAAACTAATTATTAATTTTTAAAACTTTATTTTTAAAATTTATTAATTTAAAATTAATTTTATTCATTAAATTT